CTGTGGCCGGCATCTTCAGAAGACTGAAGATGCCGGCCGCAGAGACTGCCGAAACGTCAGGAAGAACAACCTTCAGAACACGGCCAAAGAGCCCGAAAAACCCAGAACAACCAACTACTGTAAAATGACTGGGCACTGATTTGGCTTTGAATACACAAATAGCCAAGGGGACACGATGCCCTCTACAGATATTTTAAAAAGCAAACAACTGCAAGCACACTGCAGTTAGTCAAATAAAGCACATATTTACTGTGAGCAGTCTGAAAATTTGATCTCAAGTATCTGAACTCTCTTACTTATTCTAAACATTTCCTTTTAATATCCAAGGAGAACTCTTCCAGACCTTGGGGGAAGTGGATTAAAATTTATGATTTTGCAAAACTAATAAATACTGGGTGGATAGCTCAGTGAGTTAAATATCTGGCTGCAGCGCCTCAAGTTGGGAGTTCAATTCCCACTGTGTGTCCCAGAAGAGCCAGACTGTGTGGCCTTGGGCAAGCTGCATAGTCTCAGGGTGCCCCAAGAAGAAGGGAATGGTAAACTATTTCAGAGTGCTCTCTGTGGCGTTCACTCTTGTGGCATCTGCATTTTTTGCCCTCACAAAGGCTCACATCGCATTTTCCTCTCGCTGCCACCAGTGGATTGCCTCAACCCACAATATAAATGATGATTGTCAGAACACTTGTCTTGTGAATACAAAGAGAACTTATTTATTGAAGTGAAGCAGATTTAATAATATCAGAAGTTCTTCAGATAAACATTGTACACAAGCAAATCATTAACATGGCGATCATCACACTCTCTACCTAGAAAACCATGGAAAGGGCTACCATTGACTTTACTGCACACAATGAAAAATTAATAAAATCGACATTAGGGTAAGCCTCAAAAAGGTAGATTATATTTTGGTTGATCTTAATGAACTTAAAGCCCATAATGTGACCAGTGCCCTCTGCTCTTACTGTATGTTAAACTCACCTCTAACATCAGTATTATAGCACCAGGATCTAATAGTCATTGATTTGCATCCACCAGTAAATTTAAGGTGCGGTTTGATGAAGAATGTCAGGTATTAAAAAACAGATATATGCTTTGTATCAATCTTACCGTAGAAGCAAAGCAAACCTCTTCCTGGTGAATTTCCCAGGGTGGAAAGGTGCTACAAATTTACTACTGTCAGTAAGAAAAACAAGATGCAAAAAAAGAGAGATGGGATGTATTGCTACATAAATGCTTCATTATCTAATAATAGACAATTTGGGGCCCTGATGACAGATGCCGTGTCTTGCAGGACTGGTTCTCTTGACTGTCTGGTGCCTACACAGGTGTAACAGGAATAGTTCAAAAATATTTTACATCTGATCAGTGTCTGCTACCAATCTCACATATTGTATTCCACAGTGGCTTCCCATGAACAAAAATACAATTAAAATCCTAATCAGTCATCTTAGGTTCAGAAAGACATGAGGCCCTGACCCAGTTGCTAAAATAGTCATTTGGCATGGGGGGGGGGACCTCTTGTTTAGCTAATGCCATTACTCTCGTAGATAAAACTAAAATGCCATCTGAAGCATGGACTAAGTCACAACAGTGTTCGTTTTTAAAATGACACCCTCACACACACACCCCAACCAAGAAAATACTGTCTGGTAAGCCTTCTGTCCATTGTGGGCATTCAGTCAGCCAGTTGTTAGCTTGGATGGGAGACCAAAACATTTTGGGTGTAGAACAAATTGCCTTTGTCCATGTTGCAGTATTGTGTTTTTCTTGCTCATTGGCAGAGAAACAGAGGAAACCAGGTGGAAGCAAATTGGTTTTTCTTATTGTTTTTGTTTGAATGGGCTCTGGACTCTTAGAAAATTATTGGATAAATTGAGTAACATCTATCTGGATAGGACGTTGCTTTTCCATATCTTAAAGTTATGTACTCCAACTAGTTGTGGAGTCTGCTACAGGTTGTAGAATGAATTGTCTGATGAGATTACAACAAATAGGGGAGTTAAACAGGGGTGTGTTTACGGCCCTTACATTTAGTTGGCTCCTGAATGATCTGTCCCAGTTTCAAGAGTGATAGGAGTTTTTTTTCTCAAAGCTTGGTTGGCAGCAGATCCCATGAGTACTCTGATAGATAATGCTGTAGTGTTATCTTTAATTAGATCTAAAGCATTTATTGATGGCTTTTCTGCTGTGTGAAGCCACCTTGCTATCTATTCATTTTTGGTAGTAAAGAGGCAATACAGGTAACTCAAACTGTGATTTATTGGAACAACCCAGGCTCAGAAGCTAGGGTTCCATTCTGCTTTGTTTCAACAGGTCATAATTTTAAGGTAAGCAGAATTTGTATTTTTAAGAAGCAACAATAAACTATGGTTAGTTTAAACATATAACGTAATGCTTCTGTCATCCTCCAATGTGCACACTGAAGTAAAGGGGTTTGTGTGCAGTGTTTTGGCAGGTTCATTCAAACTGCAATAAATCAGCCTATCTGAATCTGATGTTCTCTAAATATGTTGAACTACAACTACTACCATCCCTCACTATTGGCATGATTGAAGCTGATGGGAATTGAGGAAACTGGAGTTCACCTGGTTAGGGAAGGCTGGGCTAAATCTTCAATTAATATTAGTTGTTAATAAAGTAGTTAATTTTTATATAATGTGTAAGGGACATGTTGGTGCTGTGGTTTAAACCGCAGACGCCTCTGTGCTGCAAGGTTGGAAGACCAGCAGTCATAAGATCGAATCCACGCGACGGAGTGAGTTCCCATCGCTTGTCCCAGCTCCTGCCAACCTACCAGTTTGAAAGCATGCAAATGCGAGTAGATAGATAGGCACCACCTTAGTGGAAAGGTAATGGATTCCGTGTCTAGTTGTGCTGGCCACGTGACCATGGAAATGCTACAGACAAACGCTGGCTCTACGGCTTGGAAATGGGAATGAGCACCGCCCCCTAGAGTCAGACACGACTGGAATAAATGTCAAGGAGAACCTTTACCTTTTACCTATATTTTGTGTAAACTTGTTTTTCATTTTTGTTGCACACTACTCAGAGTTATGTACTCTGATATATAAATAAAATAAAATAAAATATGTCTAAATTGAAAGAAAGAAAGAAAGAAAGAAAGAAAGAAAGAAAGAAAGAAAGAAAGAAAGAAAGAAAGTTAGTAGTGGCTATGGGGCTGCTCATGGATTGAGACAGGGAATACCTTGCCCCCCAATTTTCCTAGACCTGCCCCTTCCTGTAACAAGCCACCTATGGCAGCACCATCCTCTTGAGGTTATTATTAAGAGTATTGCCTTTTTAGAATTGTTAATTAACATATTTTCTATTCTGTTTTCAGTAAACTCGACAAGAAAAAGGAAGAGGCAACAGGGCTTCCAGGAGTGAACGGAGAATGGTTTGAAGAAATACAGAAGAGAAAATTTCAGAATGACTCGGATGCTAGCAGAATGTTCAAACAACCATTAGCACACAGGCTGAGAAAGGCCATAGGAAATGGTGAGTTGCTACTTGCTTTTCTGCAGTCAGCAAAACACTGTCATTTACCGCTTTCATTTACCACGTAAGAATTATAAAAAATATAGAGAGGTTTAAAGAAAAGGTCATCAGATTTTCGAATAGGAAATAATGTTCCAACAAAGGGAAATGAACTGAAGAACAATTTTCAAGTTGAGCTTTGTTTTCCCCCCATTTATGCACTTGTCCTGACAGTAATCAGTTTGTGACAGCAGTGTTATCTGATGGAACTGCTGAATTGTTGGGTTTTATAACGTGAAGCACATTTAAAGAGAGGAAAACAAACATATATCTTAAGAAAAAAAGCAATGTAGTGATCGAGTGGTTGCACTCAAGTTTCATGTAGTCTTTTCTACAGGAGACTGAGAGATGTAAAAGCAGTTTACATAAATCAGTTTGTAGATAAAATTATGCACTTCTCTTATCTGCTTGTCAAGAGACAGAAACTCAATTTAGATAAATGAAATTAATGAGTGCAGAAGTTGACAGATTAGAGGAAACTCAGAAAGCGTGCAACTAATAATGTTGCCAGAATAGTGGGACAAGAAGATTGAGACCATCTTCTGTCTTGCTTGACATCGATATAGATGTTGAAGAATTTGTTCACAACAACACAGTCACTTTGATTAACTTGCTAATCACCTTTCCTACCTTACATGCTTTCTCCCATTATGTGTCAATGTGGTTATTAATACCTTTGCTGTTGTGTACAACTGATAACAGTGGCAAAACTCTCATACGATTTATTGGATTTGCAATTCCTTTTTTCCAGTGCAGAGTACAACTACAAATCCCACGGGATTTGCTCACTTACAAAATGGGTGAATCATTTGGTAGTAAGCACTTGAGCCAAAGCTTGCTTGCTTATTTATTTATGTGGCTCATTGTGGGTGAAAATATCTTGGGGTGAAGTATAGACAGAGAAACAATTTGAAACCACCATAGTTTACTGCCATTCAATGTACCGTATTTTCCATGTATAAGACTATACTTTTGTCTAAAATCTCTGGACTAAAAATTAAGGGTTGTCTTATACACGGAAGTAAGTCGAGGAGAAAAACAAGTGGAGAGGAAAGCAGGGATCAAAGCGATCCTGCAGTACTTTGATCTCTTTCCCCCTACACTTGCTAAGCCCCACTTAGATTTCTTAATTTTGGGTTAGAAAAGTGGGGGTGTCTTATACATGGGGGCATCTTATACACGGAAAAATACAGATAACTCAAAATGGCTTAAAATAATTTAATCCCATGTAGAGATCACATGTACCACAATTATGACACCTCACACCCCAAAAGCATTGACAAAGAGCCAGTTTTTAATTTGTGGCCCTAACAAGGCCATGGGTTTGTACCAGTGGGTTCTTTATGAGGAGGGCATCTCACAAACAATATGTATTAATATGCTTTTTCTTCCCAATCTTTAAAAAACTATCAGCAGCTGGAATCCTGCTGGTGTCCATGTAACATCCCATGGCTAACTGCAGCTAGTTAGTGAAGTGCTAGGGCACATCTTAACTGCAGAATCAGACATGTGACAAGGAATGCAACAGAGAAACATCCAATACCTCATCATGGCTATGGAAGGTTACACATACGTTACAGGAACACTAGTAGGATTCTGGACAATGCAGTATTTATCAGTTTCTAATACTGATAATAAAGATAATGCAGAAAAACCTTACTGAAAAGGATTTCTTATTTATCCATCACCCTCATACCAGTTCACAATTGCTTTCTCTTTGTTCACCATTCTCTTATGATTTCCAAACCTCCTGAGTGACACAGGAAACTTGGAATTAGAGTGTGTATTTTTACAATATGTTTGGTATTGCATTTTCTGTTCCTGAAAATCTCAATTTTTTTTTAATTTTTGTGTTCTGAAGGTAAAGAAATAAGAATGACCCAAAGTAATCTTTTAAAAAGGGATGTGGTGGCGCTGTGGGCTAAATCGCAGAAGCCTGTGCTGCAGGGTCAGAAGACCCGCAGTCGTAAGATCAAATCCACGCGACGGAATGAGCGCCCGTCGCTTGTCCCAGCTCCCGCCAACCTAGCGGTTCGAAAGCATGCAAATGCAAGTGGATAAATAGGGACCACCTCGATGGGAAGGTAACAGCATTCCGTGTCTAAGTCGCACTGGCCATGTGACCACGGAAGATTGTCTTCGGACAAAACGCTGGCTCTATGGCTTGGAAATGGGGATGAGCACCGCCCCCTAGAGTCGAACATGACTGGACAAAAATTGTCAAGGGGAACCTTTACCTTTACCTTTTAACCTTTAAAAAAACATTTTGCAAGTAATTAGTAAATACAATTTTTTGCTCAAAACATGTACCATGTAGCTGTTACTTTTTTCTTTTTGGGGGGAGTACAAATACTGCGATGCCACTTCATTATCTCCCAAATTAGCAAGTTCTGCTTGCTAATAGCTACTTCTTATTTCCAGCTCTGGCTAGAAACCGGGACTAGAGATCATGCACAGCTCTAGAGATTCAGCAAAACAGATCCGTGTGGACATTTTAATTTAAGCTCAAGGCTTTTTACATTTCAAAGGAACCAGAAAGAAGTCTTCCCACATTTTTACTTTCCTTTTCAGATTCTACAAATACAAAGCCTTCAAGTTCCCAGAAGCATGGATTGCCTTCCATCCTGGGAGGGCTGCGAACCCCTTTTGCATCTCTCTTCTCCTTCAGAAAATCCAAAAGGCATCAGCCTCCTAAGCCTCAGCAGAAGTCAGAGGAATGCAACCCACGGTGAGCTAGAAAAATCCATCTGTCCGCATTCAGTTACTCTGGCTAGTTTCATGAGTTTGTCCTTAAAGATCAATTTATTTCTCTTGTCTCTCCTGTCTCTGGCTCAGAGGATTTCTCAACAGGCTGCATCATGTATGCTAGAATTGTTTTCACTGTTGGCCGACTGCATCTTTTCTTTTCTTTAACATTTGAAGGGGCATCCACATCACTGAGAACATGTGCAAAGTTATATCCCAGGATAAGTAATCAGGTGTTATCTTCGTGGCCTCTGTGAATCACACCCTGGGTGATCTGCACCTGCGCACAGACTCATCAGAAAGTTCTAGAGCTTCTGCGGTAGCAAAAAAACCACATTAGAATAAGGCCCCTCCCCCCTCGTATAAGTACCTTGGCGCCAAGGCTCCCCTTTCAGTTTCTTTCAACCGCCGTGTTGAGAGCCTCATAGTTCTATTTCTGTGAGTAAAAAAGGAAGTTTATTCTTGATTCCTTCCTGTTATCTTTTTTCCTTTAAACTTTTAGATACAAATTCATTATCATCAGAGATTTTTTCCCTTTCTCCTTTGCTTGGCCTCTGGCCGCAGCACCTCCCGCCCCCGATCATTGTTTTCCTCCTCAAATTATTTTTCTCCTATTCATGGCCCCTTTGGGCCCGTTTAAACACTGTGTGATCTGTGATAACAGAATACCACTCTCCGCCGGCCATGCCAAGTGTCTTTTTTCCTTGGGAGAGGCACACTAGACATCCTCCTGCCAGCATTGTAAGTACTTCGAGCGCGGAGTCCTCTGTTCTTGCTTATCCAGATTAAAATCCCATCCTTGGGAACAATCCCTTCAACCAACCAAAATGGCCCAACGTCCTTGTAAGGCCACCTCACAAACCAAAGCAATGTAGAAAGCTCTTTCTGAAACCTCCAAACAACGTCCATCAACCACACAATCCCACTCTGACGCTTCATCCACTTTGTCTAAAGCTTCAAAAACCCATAAATCGAAGTGCTCGATACTGTATCCTCGATATTGAAGCCCTCCACTAAATGTCAAATGTCCACCAATGCCTCTTCAGTCCTGGAGCCCTCTCCCCCTAAAAGACCTAAGCAACATAAATCTGAAGCTGCAGTCATCTCTCAGCAGCCTCAACAAACTGCAGAATCAATCTCTATTGGTTCACCTTCTGATGATGCCGGAATCCCCTCTCATCAACCCTGCTCTCGATCACTGGAATGGGATGACAGAGTCTGTTGTTTAACATCTTCTCCTCCCAGTCCTCAACACTCTGTTCTTTCAAGCAACCCTTCCGTAGTTGCTTCATCTGACAGGGTCGACTCCGAACAACAACTAGAAACCATACCTTATTTGGTTGTTGTGGGTTTTTCAGGCTCTTTGGCCGTGTTCTGAAGGTTGTTCTTCCTGATGTTTCGCCAGTCTCTGTGGCCGGCATCTTCAGAGGACTGGAGTAGGAACTCTGTCCATGCTCTGTTGGTGTTTGTTGGATAGTATTTATAGCTGTGGGAACGGCTTTTTGTCTTTTTTCAGGAGATAGGGTGATTAGCATGTTTTTGTTTTGATGGGGGGGGAGAGGGAGAGATTATCTGTCACTGTGGTTGATGGGTGTAATTAGCTGGTCTTTTTTGTTGTGAAATGGTCTCTGGCCCTTGTGGCTGAGTAAGAGTTCATTGACCTTTTGCAGGTTGTATTTTTCAGAATGGGCCGCCAGATCGAGTTTAGTTTCAGGCATTCTTCTTTCCTGTTGAAGTTTTGTTTATGTTTATGGATTTCAATGGCTTCCCTGTGCAGTCTAACATACAGATTGCTGGTGTTGTCCAGTACTTCAGTATTTTGAAATAGAATTTCATGTCCAGCTTCTGTTTAGGGCATGTTCAGCTACGTACTGCTGATTTTTCCAGCTGTTTTAATCTGCAGTGTCTCTCATGTTCTTTGATTCTGGTGTGAATCCTGCATTTTGTGGTCCCGATATATACCTGTCCACAACATCAAGGTATCCGGTATACTCCTGCAGTGGTGAGGGGGTCCCTTCTGTCCTTTGCTGACCGTAACATACCTTATTTGGTAACATCTGATTGTCCACCATGACCGCCTCAGAGACATCAGTCCCAACAGTCTCTGGAGCCATCTATTTCATCACGTGTGGCTCAGACCCATGTTCAGCACTTTCATCAGGTCGCCATTTGCCCTGACCAGTGCTCGACCGGACAAAGTGCATCTGCGAATCAGCCAGTTGCTCTATCCAACTCGGCCGTATCTTATCATGGCGGGCCTCGATCTTGACAGCTATCGCTGTCGAAACGGCCAGATCACCATGACACACATGGACTCCAACCTGCTCCCTACCTGGCACCTTAAAAACCCAGAACGTTCGAGCAATTTTCTTCTACATGCAAGGCTTTTAGAGCTCCAGCCTCCCGATATTTGCCCCCTAATCCATATGAGGGAAATCATTTCTCTCGCAGCGTCTATATACAGGTTCTGATATCAATGATCCTCAATATCCATCCTGGTCCATGGACACTTGTTGTATCCCTCTATCGATGCACGATTTCCGTCACCCGATAGAACCAAGCCATCAAATTTGATATCATTATGACTCCAAGTATGACACCGCCATGTAACCATATCAAACAACATCCATGAACACTCGGATGACATCTCTCAGTATCGAAAATCCTCAACACCGACAAATGCCCATGGACATGCCAGCTCCGTCCACATCGAGCCACAAATGTCAATACTATGACACTCAGCCTATCGACACCAAAGTCGATTGACAATCCATCGACTCCCAACGCAGTCTCGATTCTTCTGATCACAGATCCAGACATCAGACACCGTCAGTATTACTTACCTTACCAGAATCTGACCTTGTCGATCCTGACCCACCATCACCAGCGGAAGACTTCCAAACTTACGCCCAACTTATGATCCATATGGCTCTCAATCTCCAAGTCCACCGTCCTTCGACAGAACCAGCTTATCATCTGTACGACCCAATCTCTAAAGATGCAACTACTCCAGTACACATCTTGATGCTTCTGTCTCTACTCAGCACTGCTCAACAATCCTGGACAAAACCAGCCTCTTCCCATGCCATCTATAAATGAATCGATAACCTCTACAGAGTCCATGATCCTGGAGCTCTTTTTCTTCAAAAACAACTAGCTCCAAACTTTGTTTTTGTCGAAGCCTCACAATCCAGATCTCGACATCGACAAACCCTCATGCCACCAGATAAAGACAGTAGGATCGACTCAATGGGAAGATGGCTTTATTCATCAGCAGCATTCGCCATGCGTGTCGCTAACTACCAGGGAGCCATGGGTGCATATCAGCATTTCCTTTGGGACAATATGTCAACCTTTGTCGAATCTTTACCAGAAGATAAAAAAGTACTCACCCAAACCTTTCAACAAGAAGGTCTTTCCGTTGCCAAACAACAGATGGTTTCTGCTAGGCACACATTAGACACCACAGCAAAGTGAATGGCCACTTCAGTAGCTTTATGACGTTTCTCTTGGCTAAGGACAGCTGGCCTGGCTGAGGATGACCTACGAGAGTTAAATAAATACATCATTACCACAAAGTTCCATATGGTTACCATCAAATTAGTTCTCCCTTTACTCCGGAAAAATGACTGGTTCACCATCATAGATTTCATACTTCCATATTTCCATACATCCCTCGCATAGAAAATTCAATTTCAGCTAGGATCACAAGCCTACCAATTCAAAAGGCTTCCTTTCAACTTTGCAACAGCTCCAAGAGTATTCACCAAGTGCATGGCACTGGTAGCTGCTTACCTCAGGTTGCAAAAAAATGTTTTATATTTCCATGTATCGACAATTGGCTCCGTATATCGTAGCTCATTCCCGTCGCAAGGCCCAATGAGACACTCACTTCACCCTTACGCTCCTTCGCGATCTCAGTCTCGCTGTCGCTGAACAAAAATCAAATTTGAAACGTATAAAGATTATTCATTATATAGGCGCACACATAGATTCCAAACAAGCTTGCGCCTTTCTTCCTCCAGACAAGAGAGAAAATCTCATTGCATTACTACAAGTTTTCACCCCTCGTGCTATGGTACCCGCCTTGACCGTGCAACGTGTATTAGGCTCATGGCCTCTATGACTTCAGTAGTGCAGGCACGTATGTCTTGAGATGAGATCTCTTCAGTCGTGATTTCTCGCCCTCTTCAACCTGCTTACAGACCCTCCTCACACTCTTTTAAGGGTCACCCCAAAACTCGACTCCCAACTTCAGTGGTGGCGTTTTCCTCCCAACCTATCTGTCAGGTGGCTGTTCCGACAACCACAACCACAAATACAGGTCACCACCGATGCCAGCCTCATAGGCTGGGGAGCTCACTGCAAATCTCTCAAAATCCACACCAAGTGGTTTTCCAGAGAGAAATTGCTTCACATCAACGAATTGGAGCTGTTGGCGGTTATAAAAGCTTGCAAAGCTTTCTGAAATCTCCTGGCTGACAAGATGCTACAAATTGCCACTGATAACACCACGGTGATGTACTATATTCTGAAACAAGGTGGCATCCCCTCTCCAAGTCTCCTCTATTTAGTGGTCGAACTCTGGGAGTGGTGCCTAGCACATCATATCTGCCTCACGGCTTTACACATTGCCGGCCACGACAACGACTTGACCGATCTACTCAGCCGCACAAACTCTCAAGCTTATGAATGGGAGGTAGACCAATCAGTTTTTCTTCGCCTATGTGAACAATGGGGCAAACCAGCTCTCGACCTCTCTGCCTCCCATGTGAATTAGCAGTAGAAATGATACTGCTCCCAAGCCGACATTGGCAAACACTCCCAAGGAGATGCATTCATCAGCCGATGGCCCAAGACCCTCATTTACCTTTTTCCGCCATTCCCGCTTCTTCACATTCCCGCTTCTTCATGGTTCGCCTACAACAAGACAAACCCAATGTCATAGCCCCTTGGTGGCCGAGACAACCCTGGTTTCCATTC